CCAAGGAAGAGAGAAGTAAACATTCAGAGGTCCCCAAGAAGACAAAAAAGAACATCTGGGCGAAGCAGCTTATGTATGAAATGTACTTGGTGGAAGTCAGTAAGTTCTCTAAGGTTTTAGGAGTGATGACATTGGAGTAAATGAGGTCAAGCAATGACAGGTGGCTGAGGAAAAAATACATGGGGGTGTGAAGCTGGAGATCCAGGCGGATTATCAATATCATCCCTGCGTTTCCTAGCACACTAGTCAGGTATATCAGGAGAAATAGTATAAACAGGACCAGCTGGATCTCCTCAGAGTCTGTCAGTCCCATAAGGATGAAGTGAGACACATTTGTGCTATTCCTTCCATCCATTGTGTTCAACTGCTTCAAACTGTTGAGAAATAAAGGAGATAATTTTCAGGAAAAGGTGATAATTTTCAGGAATGTTTTTAAACAGGGTTATTGATAATAGTTTAATATTTCTAAAAACTAATAATGAGTAGTTTACATAATATGATGGAAAACTTTTCATTTCATTCTCATTTAAAGAAGTAGGCATAAATTGACCTTTAGGCATAATATAACAAAAAAAAAACACATAGCATATTACCTAATTTGAGTGAGTCTTACACTGTTCTAAATACTCCCCTATATTAATTTATTTACTCCACATGAGGATATTATACCACAGGTGCTACTATTAACCACATGTTTGAATGAGTAAAAGGACACAGACAGTTTAAGTAACTTATTCATAGTAGAGCTATTAAGTGTTGGCTCTGTGATTTCTCCAAGACAGATTGACTCCAGAGGACATGTCCATTGTACTATATTCCTGTTAATAATAACAGGAGCAAACCTGAGGGAAAATGCTAGATGTGTCATAAACAATGATGAAAAACAGTTTCAATGCATCACTGTCATTTTGTTTTAAAAATTATTAAATAGTAACCAGAAATAAATTTTGAATTTATGGGATTAAAACTATAGGCCACATATTACTTTCCAAAAGATATATTTTCCTCAATTGAATATATTAAAATCATATTTCTTTCAAATACTATATTTTTAAAACATGTACTTTGCTTGTTGACCATAATTTCATTAGCTCTATATTTCTGGTTTCACAAAACCTGGCATTACTTAGGGTAAGGTCTAAGTCCTTTGTGTATGTATATTTTTCTAAAAATACCCCCATTTTATCTGATCCTCACCAAAACTCTCTAATTTTCAGAGTAATACTTACCAAGAGCCAAACACACTACAACACCCCTCCTCCAATATTATCTGTCTAGAAATTTGCCAACTTCAAGTTTTTTCACAAATAAAATATGAAAACCATTGGAGTCAAGATTTTCTGTAATATATTCTTTTCTTCTAGCTAAGTTCTTTGTAAATTTCTGTGCATTCATGTCGTTTTATCCCAAGGTAAAAAGAAAAAAAAATCAACAGAAATTTTGTTAAGGTCCTGGTGGAATGGAAAATTTTCTGGGAAATTATGTCTAAAGGGAATATCAGGGAGCTGCTGTGAACATAAGTGGAGCAGACTATGTCTTGTCTCTCTTCCAGGGCATCCCTTATACTGGGGATAGAGGGTAACGCAACATTGGGTCATCCCTGAAGATCAGGTTCCAAGCAAGCTTGCTTGGCATGTTTCCAAAGGAAAAACCACACTGGGACCAAAGATATATTATGTTCTGAGGAAATAGTTGCTTTTTCCCTTGAGGGCGCACACAATGAGGAACCTTGTCTGGTCTTCCTTTGTGATCCTCTATATTTTCAACTAAGTTGGAGGAGAAACCATTTCTAGGGACATACTTAAATACCCTATAATTGAAACCATCAAAGATGGAATGACTCATTTTTCACAAGGAAACATTTTTATGTTTAAAATTGTGATACTGTCTTTGAAATAAAATATGTTCATTAGAAAAAAATTGGAATACAACAGAAATCAAAGAATAAATTGAGGACATCAATAATGTTACAACATTTTGATAAATTTCTACCATTTTCTTACCTTCATTAATACTTACTTGTGCATTTATAGATTTTCATACTTATCATTATACTGTATATTTAGCATCCAATCCTCACTTAATGACCAAAATTTCATACTATGACCGATGTTACATTAGTCTTTGATAAATATTTTAAGGCAGCACAAGGAAACACGGTGTAGCTTCCCATTCTTGACAATCACCTAATTCATCAATGTAGCAATATTTCTGCAATTTGTTTTACTATGTTAGTGTATTCTGTATATAAATATGCCAAGTGCTTTCTTAAATATTAATGAAAATTAAAATATGAAAAGAGGTATAATATTTTTTCTTGTAATTTTTTTAATTTTTTTATTGCTTAAAGTATTACAAATGTCTCCTTTCCCCCCGACCCCCTCCTTGACAATCCCCTGGCCACCCCTATCCCCCAGTGTCTTATGTCCATTGGTTATGCTTATATGCATGCATACAAGTCCTTCAGTTGATCTCTTACCCACTATTTTATTGAGAATTGTTTGTCCCAGATGAAGAAGCAAAGAAATAATCTATAAAGGGATAGAATGAGAATAAGATTAAAGTATTCTTTTGAATCTTGTACTAATTCATGACAATGAAATCAATTTCCATCTAGATTTAAAAGCAACTCTTATAGGAGAGTCTGTTTATACTTCATAATTTCACAAGATAATTTGTTGTGGATAAAGGAGCTAAATGCATGTATTATATCATTGAACTTTTAGAAGGGCAATTCTTCTATTCACAAAAACTTAGTATTGCTAAGACAGGCTTAATTGGAAATTTAAAAACCAGAATGAACCTACTTGACAAAGGTAACCTTGGGAGTTAAGGCAAAAGAGAGACAAGGGGTTATCTTCAATGTCAATGCCACCTCAATAAGCACAATGATTGCAAAATTATTAGGAGCAAGTTTTTTTAAATATTTTCCAAATATTGGAACCCATTACAGTTACTTATGATTGCAAAGCTATTCTTGTGTGACATATTGTCATGGCAGAATTCAAAGTCTGATCAGAGATTTTTAGTGTGTTTTGACTTTAATGATATACGTATTATTTAGCGCACCACATTTTTAATTATACTTTTTATATCTTTTTTCTCTTTCTCTCTGAATTATTCTATCTTTTGTTTTCATATTTTCTTTATTCTTTAACTCATAAAGGAATGGCTCTACTTGCTTTTTTAGATTGATGCTCAATTATTTATTTATTTTAATTCATTAGTTGTTTTTTAAGTTTTATCATTTTATATCATTTTTTATTTAGTGTTTTTTTTTCTTGATCTCCAACTTCTTGTTTTATTGTCTTTTTGTTACCTATTTAATAATAGAGGAATTTGTTATTTGCATTATTCATGAGAGTACCACTTACTTTTCACTTACATATAATGATATTAATTATTCCTCTTGTGGTACATTATATGGATAGGAAAGTTAATTTTTAAAATTTCCATTTAATTAATTATAACGAGATTAATTTTATGTATTTAATTTTCAAGCTAAAAGTTATTTTTATTTTTCACATGTTAATTTTAACTTGTGCTGCACTGCAGTCAGAAAAAGGTGACTCCTTTAAGTTAAATTTTATAAATTTATTGTCATCTACAGATTAATTTTCATCAACTGGTATAAAGGACTCATATTCTAGGAAAGAAAGATTCAAATGTTGAGATGAAAGTCTGGTCTTATCAATTGTAGTATTTATAGATTACAAATTCTAAGCAGGGGAAAACAGAGATAATACAAAAATTAGTAATACATGATAAAATGTGAAAGTAATAAAAAATAATAAAATGTAAATTATTGTAGGGGAAAGGGTTCTAGAATAGAAGCATAAGAGAAAAAATTATGATCAAGGTAGGATTCAAGAAAAAAGTTGCATTTGGACTAATTCTCAATGAGGGAAAGAGTCATGTAGGCAGTACATGAGAGAATGTCCAGACAGGGGGAACGTCAGTGCAAAGGCCCTGTGCAGTGGATGGGCCATGAAGCTGGAGGAATAGCAAAGACTATGTAGTAAGGGTGTCTTTCTAGTGGGGGGAAGGGTAACAGAGGAAACAACGAACATCTGTATGTCAATGGTGATAAGTGCTACAGAGAAACACGAAATCAGAAGGTGCATGAAGACAGTTCTTCCTATTTTTGTTGTTGACACTATTGCAGATATCCCTGATTCTCCTCCCCAACCTTTGCTGACCTCCACCCAACCCTCTTCCCTCCTGTGCTGGCCTTCACCACATTGTTGCCTGTGTTCATGGGCTATGCATATATGTTCTTTGGCTAAGCTCTTCACCTTCTTTTACTCAGTACCCTCTACCCCCACCCCTGACACCTAGCAGTCTACTTCAGATATTCATGCCTCTAGTCCAGCCGTGGGCAAACTATGACCCCTGGCTGTATCCGCCTGTTTGAAATGAATAAAACTATTGAAAAAAAAGACCGTACCCTTTTAGGTTATGATGTTTACTTTGAATTTATATTAGTTCACACAAACACTCCATCCATGCTTTTGTTCCGACCGTCCGATCCAGTTTAAGAACCCATTGTAGCCCTCTAGTCAAAAAGTTTGCCCACCCCTGCCTAGTCCTATTTTGTTTGTCAATTTATCTTGTTCATTTGATTCCACATACTAATGAGATCATATGGTTTTTGTCTTTCTCTGAGTGGCTTATTTCACTTAGCATAATAATCTTCAGGTTTATCCATGCTGCCGCAAAGGTAAGAGTTCTTTCTATTTTTACGGCGTCATAGTATCCCATTGATCCCATTGTGTCAATGTACCACAGCTTTTTTAATCCACTCATCTACTGCTAAGCACGTGGGCTGTTTGCATATCTTGGAATGCCTTTCTTAAAAACAATTTTCTTCTGGGAATTTTTCAGTAATAGGGTCACATTGAAAGAAATATAGAGAGTCATGAAAATATCTGGAGGAAGATAGAGATGCAGGCAAAAGGAATAGTTGTTAAAGTACTGTCTGCCAAACTTCCTTATGTAAAGTTGTTATACTTTACTTTTTATTAATATACATATTTAGAGAGAGATAGGTAGGTACAGATATAAATATATCTATCTACCAGTATACCTCTCTATATATCTATCCCTCTATATGCAGAAGAAAATTGACTATGTAATATTTTATTTATACCTAATGGCATCTATCCAAATGTTGTTTCTACCAATTATTACCATGGTGTTTTGCCAGTAAATTTCTATTTCCCTTATTCTTTCAACATATTTTAATTGAAATGATTTCATAAGAAAGAGTTTTTAATTTTTAAAAAAATATTTTTATTGATGTCAGAGAAAGAAAGGGAGAAGGAAACAGATAGAAACATCAATGATGAGAGAGAATCATTGATTAACTGCCTCCTGCATGTCCCTACAGGGTTGATGCTCAATCACTGAGCAACACTTGCTGGGCATTTTTTAAAAATATGCTTTTATTGAGTTTTGAGAGAGAGAGGAAGAGAGAGTAATAAAGAGATAGAAACATCAATGAAAGAAAAACATGTCCCTTATTGAGCCCCCAACCCTGGCATGTGCCCTGACCAGGAGTCGAATGAGGGACCTCTAAGTTCATGGGTTGACGCTTAACCACAGAGCCACATTGGCCAGGCTCATTCTTTCCTTAGTTAGCTAGTTATACCAATGTGCACTCATTGATAATTATTTGGTTCTTTAGGGTTGTTACCCAATACTACCATCACTTACTTTGTTGCTCAAATTGTTCTAGCTTTGCTAATGGAACCATCACTGAATAGCTCCTGTGCACTTTGCTATTTGGACATGTCCATGTCATTTATGTTTGCTTGTCTTCACTTCTTACATTCTGGTAGCAAAATACACTCCAGGCACTTATATTTCTCTGGACTCAGCTCTAAAAACAACCACTTCTCTAAGGAGTATGCCACTTGGAAACCAGGATCTGGACAACATATTCTCTTTATATGTATGTACTTAAAATTTTCCCTTAAGAATACACTTGAAACCCCTATAATTTTATTAACTGTCACCCCAATACATTTACATTAAAATGAATACATCACACATATATTCTCAATGCTTTTATATTTCCAAATCTTGGTAATTACAACTTTTCAAAATGAAGACTCTATGCTATAGCTAAACACGTTTAGATTTGGGAACCATAATTCTGAGTTTGTGTCTAGAAATATTAACTAGCATTATGGCCAGGTGAAAATGTTTTAATCTCTTTGATTCTGTGCCCATGTCTACAAAGTGACAATAGTAATACCTGTTTCATGTGTTTGTGAAGATAAAATTAAATTATATGGATTTAAAATGTCTTCCATGTTTTATTGGCAATAAAGTATGTAGTCAATCAACATTTGTTTTGTGTTTTTAATATAAATAACTATCATAATCTATTATATGTATACATCTACATTTATTAAACCACTTTCTCCACTGTTGGGCAATTACTTTAATCATAATTTTTGTTCATTTTTAAAATATAATATGGAATACATATTGATTTGGTTCCTTTAGATAAATAATCAGAAATAGTATTTTGGGACAAAACTACAGCTTTCCTCTACATATCAGTGTGAGGCATTCTAGAGCGGTCTGGCAAATTTTAATTTCTATGAACATTGTCCCTGACCATCAGTTTTATCATAACCTATTCACATTAAACATTTACATCAGTGGTTCTCAACCTGTGGGTCGCAACCCCTTTGGGGGTCGAACAACCCTTTTACAGGGGTCACCTAAAACCATCGGAAAACACATATATAATTTACATATTGTTTTTGTGATTAATCACTATGCTTTAATTATGTTCAATTTGTAACAATGAAAATACATCCTGCATATCAGATATTTACATTACAATTCATAACAGTAGCAAAATTACGGTTATGAAGTAGCAACGAAAATAATTTTATGGTTGGGGGTCACCACAACATGAGGAGCTGTATTAAAGGGTCGTGGCATTAGGAAGGTTGAGAACCACTGACTTACATCTTCTTAAACTCTAAGATTCCTTTGGGATCGAAGTTTTAATAAATTCATATACATATCATTCTCCAAGGCACTTGTTTGTACACTATTTTAGAGCACATTTGGCATAAAATTAACAAGGAAAATATTTCATTTCTGTAGCCCTTTTCACAGCATCCTTCACCTCCTTGTTTCTTAGGCTATAAATCAATGGGTTTAGCATAGGAATCACAAGGGTATAAAACACAGACACCACCTTTTCTTGTTCTAAGGAATATTGGGAGCTCGGTTGAATGTAACTAAAACTTATGGAGCCATAGAATAAGGTGACAGCCGTGAGGTGTGAAGCACACGTGGAGAAGGCTCTGTGTCTACCTGCGGCTGAGCGGATCCTCAGGATGGCAGTGACGATGAAGAAGTAGGAAATCATCACAGTTAAGAAAGTGATCAGGGCAATAATGCCAGAGAAGATTAAAAGCAGCAGTTCATTCATGGATGTGTCGGAACACGATAGCTTTAACAGTGGGGGGAGGTCGCAGAAGAAGTGGCTGATGACATTGGGTCCACAGAAAGACAGTTTCATCAAGCCAATTGTGTGTGTCAATGAGTTGATTAAACCTCCTACACATGATCCAATGACCAAGGCAACACAAACCATTTTAGTCATAGCCGCCGTATAAAGGGTTCGCAATGGCCATATAGCGGTCATACGCCATTGCTGCCAGCAAGAAGCCCTCAGTGGTAAGGAGTGACACGAATAAGAAGTATTGCACAATACATGCAGAAAATGAGATCTTCTGTTCAACAAAGAAATTCAGCAGCATTTTGGGTGCAAAGACTGAGGAGTAGCAGGCATCAACAAAGGACAGGCAGCTAAGGAAATGATACATGGGTGTTTGGAGTTTGGGAGTTATGTGGATTAGGAAGAGCATCCCTAGATTTCCCACCAAAGAAATGGTGTAGATGAGCAGAAACAACACGAAGAGGAACACTTTCAGCTCAGCACGATCTGTCAGCCCCAAAAGGATAAACTCAGTAACCAACGTGAAGTTAACACCAGCCATGTGTTTGTGTTTCTTGGAACCTGTTAATGATCAGAAGATTGGAGTAAATTGAGAATAATCGTTCTGCACACACCAGACTGATTACAATCTCGAACTAGCCGTGTGACTTGTGTTATTGCTTTTCTGCTCTGTTTTTCAAGCTATTAAATTAGAACATTTTTCACTAGAAAGTCTCTAGTCTTTTCAATCACTGTTTATTTGTCTGTTCCATAAGGAAATTCCCTGTTGAAAAATGAAAACATCAGTGTTTTAGCGTCAGGATGCATTTAAAATACTGGTCTTAGTGTGAAGGGAAAAAAAAGTGAATTTCATTCTAAAATATGTAAAGAAATCCAATTTATAAAGCATAACAATAGTCAGAGTTGAAATTTTAATCTATGGTACTGTGAAACTCTTTTAAACTTCTCCTTTTGGATTTAACAGTAGCTAAAGTCAAATACATTGGCTGTAAGAATAAACCATACTGTGGCGTTTAAAGAAAGATATTCCACTCATGCCTTTGTTTTATTGCTACTCCATATTTTGTTGTGACTGGGATGTAATGAAAGGCAAGGCCCTAACATCCAGCCTCTGGAGTCATCCTTAGAAAATAGCCAGAGCCACTGGCTTTGGAGGAGACTGCCCACTGGGAATTGGGTCGGGGCCGGAGTTGGGGGTGGGGGGGGAGTACTCTTAGCTGAGGTATGAAATATAGTGAACAACAGTTTAGTATTAGTGTTTGATATCCAATAGAAATATCTTACTCAATAAACAGTGTCTTTACCTATAAAATAAAACAAGCCTATAAAAACAGACAGGTACTGCTTCGCAATATTTTTTATGTGGCAACACATTTCCTAGAATATGCAATGCATTTTCTAGTTAGACAATGTGAATTTGTTGATTATTATTAATTTCATCTGAAAACGTTATATTTTTACATTTACATTTACATAACAATATTTTAAACAGTTCACAATAGCATAAAAATATTTTAAACAGTTTACCTCCAAGGAGTAAAGAATGATGATTTTGGCTTCATCCTTTCATTTAGGAGACAGAGAAACTATTTTTTTTTTTTTTTGGCACAGTAGGTAAAATTTAAAAAGAACAGCATTATAAGATTACCGCAATAATCTATATATATATATACATAAGCCTAAGTGACTGATCAACTGGTCACTATGATGCACACTAACCACCAGGGGGCAGATGCTCAATGCAGGAGCTGCCCCCTGGTGGTCAGTGCCCTCCCACAGGGGGAGCGCCGCTCAGCTGACCCGGATGAGCGGAGCCATAATGAGCGGGAGCAGCTCCTCCCCGGCTGCCGGCTGCCTTCCACTTTACGCATTACTATATCTTTCAGGGGATGTTGGATGCATGTTTCAACCGGATCCCCACAGGCCATGCTGAGGGACTCCACCAGTGCACGAATCCGTGCACGAGGCCTCTAGTAAGAAATAAAAAGATAACTATGTTAGATCTAGTTACTGACCTGTGAGTAACCCCCATGTAAATATGTATTTATGGCTGACTAAAATTATTCCTTTAAGAAAGAATATATAAAAATGAATTAAAACGTTGATTTCTTTATTGTTCTATTAGAAATTGCATAACAAATATTTATGTTAATATAAAAAATGAAATGTCAATGTAGGGTAAGAAGTAAGAAAAGTGACCAAATTACAAATTGCCCCACCCTTGTAATTTGAAGTGTTTCTCAGATTAAAATCTGAACACTTTTTTCTTCTTTTCATTTTTTTTTTGGTATTTTTAACTGATTCGCAGGATAGAATGTATAAGGGATATTCAAATAAGTTTATTTAACTTACCGATGGAAAAACAAATGTCCAACACCTTAGCTCATGTAGGAACCTCATGATCACTCATTCCCATGATCTATTTCTCTGTATTACTCCCAAAACAAAAATAAAACAAAAAGTTCAATTTATGTGACATTTACAGTCATTCATAAATTAGGTAAATGATAGAAGTTATAGGTAGCAGTATTCAAATAACAACTTCTCCTTTATTATATGAGAACCAAAGACAAAGTCTTCAGGGTGTGAAAGTAAAACTGATAGGATCAAAACACCATTGTCTCAGAAAATAGGTTTGGATGAAACGTTCAGTTTTATATTTACCTTAGTTCAAATGGGAATAGGGTCCCTAGAGTTAATCTTCTAATTAAAAGGATATATTGAATATATTATTTAAAGTTCCTCTGTGTTTCTTGAGGGATTTAGGAGACTCTCAAGAATTTAATTACTCCCTTCAGGCATTTAATTTTTTGAATGTGACCATTAATAGAAGAATATGTGGGACAAGGATGGGGAAAAAAACAGAATATGTGGCCCACCTGCTATGGCTCAGTGGTTGAGCATTGACCAATAAACTAAGAGGTCACTGTTCAATTCCTGATCAAGGCACATGCCAGGGTTGAGGGCTCCATTCCAGTAAGGGGCATGCAGGAGGCAGCAGATCAATGATTCTCTATCATCATTTATGTTTGTATCTCTCTCCCTCTCTGAAATCAATAAAAATATATTTAAAAAAAAAACAGAATATATGATCTCTGGAAAAAAATAAAACAATAGAATTGATAGTGATTCC